TCGGATCTGGGTTTAGGTCCAGGTCCCGAACTATGTTTTGGGGTCTAGGTCCAGGTCTGATGAATTTGGGTCCAGTCTGGTTCAGGCTCGACTCCGGATCCTATATCATGTTTTTGAGGTTTGGGTTCAGGTTCGGTTCCGTCGCCACCCCTAAAGGGGTGGGAGTGGGACCAAGACATATTTGTCCTATCCCACTATTTCTGGAGTGGAAGTTAGGGGGATCGACGGGCACATCTAGCCAAAATCAGACCCTTGATAAGGTCGGGCCGCCGGGCGAAACACATTAAACAAAAATAAAGCAGAAAAAGATGGGTCTTGTCTTAGCCCAAGCCAATGCCCCAACTTTTTAGGACAGGGCCCTACTAGATTCTGATTTTATAACATATGACACGATACTCCAAACTTAGAAATATCGCACGTGCACATGTGCCATTACTCATGGATGTAGTGCATGCACATGCGTGCGTGCATGATAACAAGAACCTCAATTACAAAGCGCATGATGCATGCTTGGGGCATGTATGTGCCGCTTGACATGCACATGCATGCATGGATTGTCCCTCTACACGGTGTACGTGTTCCGATAGCATCAAAAGCCATGACTATAGTTGGAGAATTGGGATTTTCTTGATATTCTCATAAAAATATTCTAGTCCAATTTTTTCTATTTTTGGCAATTTTGATTTGCCTTTTCAAGCCTTGAATAGTAAATCATTTTGTAGGGAAGCAACTTTGTCCATTTACGCTCCAAATCTGTGGGAATAAATTAAGGAAATTTACAGATAAATCCTATTATAATTTTATATTAAACATATTCTTAACATTTATATTTTACAATTGAGTCCAATTTTTTAGAAAATAAATTGTATTTTTATATGATCTTTGTTTTGTATAACAAATTAAGCTCAAATTTAGTATATCCATGCTTTCCACTATTATACATTTCGTAAGATATTTAAAAAATAATTTAATATAAATAAATTTACCAAACTACCCCTGAATAGTATAGTGGTAAGTTTGATGATTTTATTTATTTTGAATTATTTTTTAGAACTTTTTTATGGTGAAAAGTATCAATGTGCTAAATTTGAGCTTAACCCAATATATAGAAAAATAGATAAAGGTTAAAAACACACTATATGTTCTTAAAATATAGGACTTGATTGTAAAATATGAAATCTATTTGAGACTATTTTAAATATAAAAAATAAAATAGGATTTCTATGTAAACTTCCCGTAAAATTTACAAACATATCATTTCAACCTCAATAATTATTAGTATTTAAAAACCCACCAATTCACAATGGGACTTTGTCATAGACAAGCCGTTTCCCGGTCAGAACCAAGAATCGGTCCGGTGTGGACCGACTCGTTTAGTTCCCTTAGGGAACCGGGCAATCCAAATCTAGCTGATCACCTGGTTCAATGACAATATATCCTTTTATTAACTTTTATTTGTGTTTTATTTATTTTTTATTTTTTTACTGACCAATTATCACACTGGATAATCGGCCCACTCATTGATTTGGATCGGCAATTCACCGATTCATATTGGTTGCCTCGACAACCGGTTCACCCTGCCGATCTAGGTTTTAAAACATTGGTAACTATTGATCTGAAACACACACATAGTGATATGCACACACACATAAATTTCAAGCTCTTAAAAATATTTTCATGTTATTTTATATCATATTTTTTGGACCCTCCACTTTAAACAATCATTGATATCTTCAAATTCCATTGTCAAGAACATAAATAAATTTGTAACCCATCACAGGATTTCTGCACCAGAACTCCATTTTCCTGTGAGGTTTTCAAGATTGATGCTTACCATAGACTGTGAAAGAACTGCGAGGGAGAAGCATGTCTTCAGCGTTGCAGGACATCATGAGAAGCCTATTTCGACGTGCATCGATCTTGTAATGTGACAGCAGTCTCTTTGGGGGCATCTTATAAACACCTGAAACCAATAAATAGATCCAGGAAAACAAATATTGGGAGAGATAATGGGTGGATCAGAATTCGTGTAGTTGATTTTAATTAGTTAAAAAAATATTTCAATGATAATGCTGAAAAAAATAGAGAGAATGTAAAAAAGTTTTAATTTAGAGATAAATTTTGGCCCTGATTTTTAAGGAATATACGATCCTTGGAGATCACTAATATGTAAAAGAAAGAATTTAAAAATAAAAATAAAAAAATTTTTGAAAGGAAAATTTTGAGGCATTGATTTTTACCTTTTTTTGATCGACCATCACTTACATCGTGGTGGCAATGGAACTTGACTAGATCCGGGACCCAAGGGGAGACCCAACCCATGTCCGGCTATGGGTCCAAAAATTTGATCTGGTTAGTCGGTTCCGGGTCCAAATCTTGGACCCGAACACTATTCGGGTCCATCCGGGGCTCGGTGTGGGTTCGGCTAACATTTTTTGGGTCTCAATATATGAAAAATATTTATATATAGTTAAATATATAGAATATTAATTTTTGGGTTGGGTCTAGGTTCAGGTTCTACACTATATTTTTGGGTCCCGGTACGATGAATTCGGGTCTGATCAGGTCCGGGTCCAGGTCCAATAACATTTTTTGAGTCCAGCCAACCCGGCCCATTGCCACCCGTACTTGCATCATCTTTAGATGGTTGGTTTATACGAGGCACGCATACGTAGAATACGGTACCCGATACAGAAACTACTTCGTATTTTAAAAATCTTTTTTTATTGTTTTTTTAATGTTGAGTTTTCACTCTTTTCTTTTTTAAAAATATTCGCTTTTTCCTATTCTTTTCAAACACCTGCTTTTATCGAAAAGCACCAAAATCCTACCATAGAGCACCGGCCTCAACAACCCCGTCACAAAATCCAAAACCACCGACCCCATGTCTCTTTTCCGGCCATCCACGCTAGATTCCGGCGGCCCCACATCAATTTCCCGGCCACTGATAAAATCGCCCACCCTCACTGTGTTCAAGCTCTCTGGTTCTATCTCATGGGGATCACCACCTTCCCATAAACAAAGCAATCTTCCACCCCATTTCAACACTGAAGTGTTTGCCACATTTTTCATCACCTTTGTGTTGAAGAATTTCTGGCCAAATTTCAGAACTGAAAATGGACCACGATAACCAAAAATCCATTTTTTTGATTTTTCATCATACTCTTCTTGTTTTGCTTGAGTGGCCACGTACCTTGCCGATAACTTAACTTCACCGGAAAATCGCCCGGAGAATTGAGCTGTCTCGGTGGACAAGTGATCGAACTCACTTGCAAACATAGCCGAATGACCGGAATTTCGATCAGTCTCATCGGAAAATGCACCCACTTTGTTGGAAAAGTGACCCACCTTGCCAGAGAATGCATCTACATCGCCTGAAAACTGACCCAAGTTGCTGGAAAATGGACCCGCATGGCCTGAAGTTTCAGCCAACTTCCTGGAAAACTGACCCAACTCGCCGGAAAAGTCATCCACTTTCCCAGAGGAGCCACCCACTTTGCTGGAGAGTTTACCTGACTCGCCGTGAAAGTGACCCACCTTGCCTGAAACTTCTCCATTTAGGCAGGAATGGGTGCTCAAAACTGCTCTGTTTTGGCCGGAATTTGTATGAGCATAGCCAGAAATTCCTGGGTTTTTACCAGCACTAGGGATGATGGAGAAGGCGCGAAGGTAGCCATGGCCATCGAGGGGGTGCACAGTGGAGCCCATATCATCAATGAAGAGGCCCGGTCCTGCTAAATAGTAAGTTCCTTTAGGGAAATCACATGGAACTTTGCCATGAACAAGGCGAAGAGCCACCGGTTCCTCTGTTTCTGATCTCTGAGAAATGAAGAGAAATTGGTAGTCCCAAAAGGCAGTCATGGCCTCTTCCGAAGAATTCATCGGATGAAGCTCTTCTTTGGCCGGAAAACTTTGGATTTTGGGAGAAGAACTCCGTTGTTTCCTGGGTTTAATGTGAGTAGTGGGGTGTTTGCAGCTGAGGTCTTTCTGCACTTGTTTGGAGAGAGTGGTTTGAGAAGGACCACCAATGTCCGGAGTCAAAAGTTTTCCGGGAAGTTCTTTGGCACCAGCCTCCGGAAAACTGTGACTTACGGCCATTTCCGGCAATTGGGTTGCTGAAAAACTGTTATTTCCTGTGATTTGAGGCAACTGGTTCACTTGCAAATGCTTGCCTCCCTTTGGTTTTGAGAAGGTGGGGTTCATCGGAGTTGGTCCAGTGGCCAGAAAAGACTGGTCCTTGGCATGACCATAAGCAGCTTTAATGGCCGATTTTGCCCGAATTTTGATGGGAAAATGGTTTTCCAGGGAGGGAATCTTGGTTGGTAGGACGTGGTAGGATATGGTCTGCATTTTCTGGATACTAAGGGATGCTTCAATGGAAATTCTGGCAATTAAAAGCAGTGCTGGCTATGTTTTTGCAGGGATTTTAGCCGGAAATCAATTTTCAGGCGCGGGGAAATTGGTGGGGAGCATTTTTCCGACGGGTGTTGTGTTAGATTGAGGGTGGCGAGAGGAGCCCAAGTATTTAAAATGGATGGAAGGGGAATGATTTTGAAAATTCAATTTATTCAAGAGAAATTGAATTGTCCCTGTAATTATTTAGAATGGCTAAAATGGCCTTGGGTTTTTCTTCTTAGAATTATTTATGGCGTATTTTTCAAAGGAAAAAAATTTATACAAGTGCGAGAGGCTCTAAACAATCAATTTAGGGCGCACCGCAAAAATTCACAAAAACAAGTTGTTTTGAAGCCCAAAAATCTTCAAAATTGATCATCTCGACCTTAAGATTTATGGACACGAGAAAAAACATAGAATTCAAGTATAAGAAATCATGCATCTTGTAATGCCTTTTGTACCATCAATTTTCAAGATTTTCAAATGTTCATAGATTTTCTCAATCGATACTATTTTTGGAGTTTTAAAATAAATTTTTAGACCATCACAAAAATTTTCAGTATTACAACAATACCTTTCAATACTATTTGAAATGGTATTTCCCCTGTCTGGATCTATAATATGAGACAAATTTTTATTTTTATTTTCTAGTTTAAATCATTTTCTCTGTTTTGAGCTGAAAATAGAAAAAATTATTTCTATACCTTCATTAAAGAAAATCTTTTTTCTTCTTGGTTTTTCATCACCGAGTGGAAACCTTACTCACCCGAACACACACACTCTCTGGTCATGAAGCCAAAAACTTATTCATTCAAAACTCTCTCTCTCTCTTATTTTTGAGAAATAGTCACCATTCATTCATAACAAAACGAAATTGCAGTTTTACAGAGCCAACAGGCCGAGAACAAAACCCAAAATAAATTACAATCAAAGAAAAATATCAAACCACCTACAACAAAGCAACATTTAGAGATTCCGAAGACTCATTCTGTATCAAGACGACCCGCCTCTATGTTTGCTTCTCGAAACACATGACCAAACATAACATTCATTTTGCATTCCATCCTCACTTCTCTCACCAATCCATACAATAACCAAAGAAATTCATCTTCTTTTCTTACCCACTTTATTATTACATTTAGTGAGCCTCCTCATCATCATGGGTTTGTTAAATTGCTCAGCCAATTTAACACTCTGCAATAAACACCTCTTTCTCTCTCTCTCTCATCATGCACAAACACCTTGAACCACCCACCTGTACATTCCAAATGGCCAAAACCCCCTCGTCATCCAATCCTCTCTCTTAGTGTTGTCAGATTCGCTTTAGATGGGCTCTTCAAATTTTAGACCTAAACCGAAGCGAAGCCTAATGTTGCCGCTTTGGTCAGCTTTGAACCGCTTTGAGCCATTCAACCAAAGGCCGAAGCAAAGAAATATCTATATAAAATATTTCTTTTGATTGAAATTTTTATTTTTAGTTAATTTTATATATTCTCGTATATAAATATCTAATTTATTTATATTAAATTTAAAAAAAATCCAAAATTTTCTCTTGAATTAGCTTAAGTGTCAAATTACTTCATTTTTCTCACCGTACCGAATAAGACTCCGAAGCGAATCTAACAACATTGCTCTCTCTCTCTAGCTGAAGATACCTTAAGTTTTTTTTGGCGGATTTGAAGGCATCTCAATTTCAGCCCCACCTAGTTTTCATGCAATCACTCATGCAATTACGCAATTAAGGTTGTTTTGGAGGTGTCATTACCTAACTCATGTCCCACTCAGTGACCCATTGGGGGTTACAAGCTCATGGTGGGCACCAATGTTTGCAATTGCAAAGGCATTTCTTGTACATCGCCATTAGAGGGTTCTTCATAGCTTGTAGTTGCAGGGATAGATCTCAACCATGGCTTACTTGAATGGACCTTGGTCTTTAATCTGTCTCTACTTGCTGATCTCTCTCTCCTCCATCTCAATACCCATTAGGTTTACAGGCGTGATCCCTGAGTAAATTGTTTTTTCTCTCTAACTAAGCTAGATTTGAACACCAACAAATTTCCAAGGCCCTTACCTCTGATGTTATACTGGTGTCAAGTCTCAGACCTCTTGACCTTAGATTCAATAAGTTTAGTGGGATTTTGCTCGATGAATTTTTGATCACTGATTTAGATGCAATTTTTCGAAACAATATTCAGTTTGAGGGGCCACTATATGGGATCGCATATCATGAGACCATTTATCTTTAGTACAAGAATGTCATAATTAATCTTAACTATTGGATGTCCAATTGGATGATTTGGAGTGTCATAAAGTTCAAGAAATTTATTGTTGGGCATTGAGTTTAGTCACAAATAAATTTATAATCACTTGATTTGAAATTTGATTGACAAGAATAGATGTGACCTTTTTATACTAAAAATAAATGGTCTATTTGTATATCTTTCCCAACTATATTTAATACTAGAGAATCCCATGGTGCATCTAGAGGATGTCCAAATAGCTAAACTCTATTTTTCAGGAAATATATTTCACAAGAAATGTATTTTGTAGGAAATAGATTTTTCATAAGAGGTTTTTTCAAGGATCCAAATCGCCCCTTCTTTTCTGTTAATTTCCTCACACCATCTACTCTCTCAACATCATTTCTCTATTAATTCACATTGATAAAAAAAATAAGAGGCTACAAAATACCTATGGGTGAAAATGAACAGTATTTTTGCCCATAGGCTTGGCACTGTCCGATTTTTTCAGATGGTGTGGATTAAAGATCGCACGGACATAGCATGTCTGTGGCGGTCCATCACAGACATAGCATGTCTACGACGAGATTTTTTTTTACGCAAAATTGTAGCAAAAAATATACAAGGACCGCCATGGCTCCATAGATCCATAACGGTTTTTAAAAAAAAACCATCATAAACATAGCATGCTCATAACGGAGGCGACATATTGTAGCAATTTGCTTATAAGTGTTTTTAAGACTTTTCCTAACAAAAACATACAGAAAGAAAGGCGTACAGCCAGTTACTTTGATAAAAAGGTTACAGTCATTTTGGAACATAAAATATAAAACCAAACCAAGGACATTATGGTCATTTAAACAATTACAAAACAAAAAAAAGGTAAGGGCATTATGGTCATTTTGAAAATTACAAAACAAAGAAGGATATTATTTTCCCTCTATTTTTAAGTGGAATTAGGCTTGTCATTAAAGTTGACCAAACCAAAGGCATTATGATCATTTAGTAAAATAGAGTATAAAAAATATATTTTTTTCGCATAGTTATAAAATAAAGTTTTCTTCATGTATTATTATCATGGAAGTGGAGCACTAAGAGACAGTGGCTTCTCATAGATTCTAACGTGATGCTCCATGAGAAATGACAAAAGGAGCCCACCTCTAAACCGTCGATGGCCGTCTAATTGGTATCTAGGGCTTACGTCATCATTTAAATTAGTGAGGATGAGGACTATCATTAATTAAAAAAAAAAAGAAAAAAAGAGGACTATTTTTATTTGGTTCTTGAGATACTTGGTGAGAAAAGACGAGTCCAATGAGCTCGTACAACAAACGAACCAGTCAAAAGGACAAGATAAATGTTTCTTCTTTTTCTAATCTTTTTTTAGGAAAATTATTTCAGGAGACGTATTTCTACATTTGCATCCCGAGGTATAAAACACCCATCTTAAAGATGGATGCAAATGGGTGGTCCATCTAAAAACATTTGAAACTAACTATCTAAATTTTTTTTTTATAAAATTATTATTTTAATTTTCCTTCTTTTTATTTTTTATTTTTTGTATATTCATCAACTCTATGTTAGAGATTATAAGTCCTTATAAATTAAGTCCAAAGATCCATCTCAAAAATAGATTTTTAAAAAAGGACTCATTTCCTCATACTCATAAAAACATTGTCTTTTATCTAATAAGGAAAAGTGTTTGGTGAGTCGGCAGACTCACACTATTTTTGTGCAGTCTCCTTATAAAATATATTTCAAAGATATGTTTTCGATCTAAAATTTTAGGGTTCGGTAATATAAAGCATGACAATTATCATCTAAATTTGGATTTTTCGTTTTCAAAAAATATAAATGTTATTTTTTGAATTCTTTTCTTCACCGATTATTTTAAGTTTTGGTGGATGTAATAATTTTTGATACCCATCTTAGAGATAAACATTAAATAAACAAGGGACTAAGGTGAGTCAACAAGGGACTAAGGTGAGTCGGCTGACTCACCAACCTTTTTATGATGGCTATGGTGCAAGGTTTGGTTTGATATGCCAAATGTGCTCTTTTAGTAATGTCCCAACTTTTGTTTTTGGCTGATCAGTGGCGTGGCGATTACATGCCCTTACCCGTTTTAGAAATAGTTAGTGGTTTTTAAAAGCGTAAGTGAGAATAAAAGCCTAAACGGTAGCTGAGGCTCATGTGCTGCTACTGGTGCGACCCCAACCCGATTCCGAGTGATGGCCAAACTTGGATTCATCTTTGTACAATCTCTTTCTTTCTTTCTTTATTATTTTTAGATTGATGGAAAGTTTGGCTTTCCTATGCATCTATTTTATACCTATTACATTATTTTTTGAGTGATTGAAACTTTGTTTTTCCAATGTATCTATTTTGTACCTATTACTTTTAGAGTGATCTAGAAACTTTGCCTTTAGGATATTGATATTTTGGGTTGGTGAAAGGATGAGGCAACTATAGCCGGTTTTTGTGTACAACTTGGATCGTTTGTGGGGGACAAACTATGGCTAGTTTTGGAAGGAAATACATAAAAAAGGGTAGAGAAATGATCCAATAAGGGCATGTTTAAATGGAAAATAAGTTTATTTTAAGTGTCACTAGTGACTTACTATTTCAATAAAATTAATTCTCGTAATGAAATATTTGTTGTGTGATATTGTACCTAATAAAATTATTTGAAATAAACTTATATGCAATTTTACACAAGTTATTAACATCAGACTGGATTGCTTTGTTCGATTTGTCGGACTGCCAATTGATACTTTGGTCGGTCCAGTCCAAAGCAAAAATTAAAAAAACCAGTCATAACCAATGTTTAGCTGGTTAGGATGACTAATTTTGAGTGATTGGACAGATTAAGC